AAACCACAATCTTTCATGTAAGAGTCACAAAGACATTCTAGCATCCTACATAGTATAGTGAAAAGACGTACCTCACATTAGTCGAAAACACCAAAGCTCGTATAGTCGAAACGTTGTGCTACACACCACCTAATGAAACATCCAAGGTTAAAACCATAGTCTACCCTTTAAAACTAGCAATTTTGACCAAAAGTCAACCAAGTCAAAAGTCAATGATTAATGGTCACTACGTCGTTGCCAACTACTGGTCACGTTGTGACTACTCAGTCAGTCGCGACTAGTTCCGCCACCACGTCGTGTTAGCAACACGACAAAACATTTGTCACAACTGACAATTTTAGCTAGGAAATTCTATTCTTGTGTAACCATTCAACAATTGTAAAACATATACTTTAAGTAAATCTTATTCAATGCTCAGTTAGATTCATCAATTATATTCATCAAAGAGTCTGAAGCCCTAAAATCCATGGTTTAAGTCCATTTTGGACTAGGAGTTCCTTATTGGGCCTAATGGACCAAAAAGCACCCAATTCAACTTGATTGGACTTAGAGGCCCTAATTGGATTCTAATTGGACCCAATCCATAAATCTAAAATATTTTGGACCATATGGGCCTAGAATGATTCATTCTAACCCTAATGGGCCTTATTGGGCCATAACTAATCCAATTAACCTTAGTGAGCCATAAAACCCACTTTTTATGCCATTTGGGCTGTGAACCACCCTAAAGGCCCAATGGGCCGAAAAACCTTATGTTTAGGGTCCAAGTATCCTAGTTAAAGTTAATGGGCCCAATCTACTCTTTCCTCCTAGCCCAAATCTCGGCCCATGTATAATAAAAAAAAAGGAAAAGAAGAGAATTAAGGGGGGGGGGTGACTTGGAGATGCCACCTCCATATTGCCCAACATATATCCATAAACTTCTCATATCTCAATGCAACCATCACCTCAAGACTTCTCTCTCTCTCCCCTCTCTTCTTCTCTCGGCCGAAGACAACAAACACACACACACATTACACAAATTCTCTCAAACACTCTCAAGGATCATCCTACTCCTTCCATTAAAAATCTTGAAAATTGCTTGTGTTTCAAGAAGGTTTTCACAAGATAATCATCACCTCTTGGTAAGTCTTTACACATCCAAGTTTATAACTCCATTCTCATGTTAGATCACTCTTTTAAGCAAAGTTTTTTGGTGATTTTGCTTCCTAGAACTTCTTAAGTTCGAAATCTACTCAAGAAAGCTTGCTAGGACCAAAATCTTCTTCATTTCTTCTTCAAAACCGAAACATCAAAGCAAAGGTGAGTTCATACCCCCTTGTTTTCGGTTTTCATATGATTTTTGGGGGAGAATACAAGTAAAATGTGTAGTTCTATGTGTTATATGTTATGTGTGAATCCTTAGTTTATTTGGTAAAAATGTGTTAGATCTTAGTGAATATCGAAATTTTAAGTGTTATGTAACAAAGATCTAAGAACTACAATACTATATACATCATATTATCAAGCCAAAAGTGAACACATGTTTAAGATGCAAAAGAATTTAACAAAAACCTTGTCAAAGGTCAAAATTGTCAAGAAAACAAAAGATAAGGGTAAAAAGTGAAAATTCTGTTTTTTAAAAGGGACAACAGGTACTACATGTATAAAAAGGTATTTTTATGCTAAACATGCTTTTAAAGGGGTCAAAAATGCAAATTTAAGCTTATTGGCCAAACCTTTGGGCCTCACTGCCTTTGGGCCCAATTTGCGAAAAAAAATAAAGTTTTGAGGTTTAAAAATGTTATTTGGCCAAAGTTTGAGTAATAAATGTAAATAAACCAAGTCTAGAGGTGAAAATGTCATTTATTTTCAAATTGGACCAAAATGTAAGTTTTCCAAAATTGGGCCGAAAATGTAAATTTTTACAAACAAAGGGGCTGAAAATGTAATTTTCTGCGAAACAGGGTTTTAAATGTGAAAATATAACATTTTGGGTCAGAATTGTAAATTTACAGACATTTGGGACAAAATTGCAAACTTTTATAAATTATGGACTAAAATGTCATTTTTACAAAACTTTGGGCCTTAATTAAAGATTTGAGTATTATTGGCCAAAAATGTCATTTTTACAAAATGAAAGCTTTTATCATTAATCTATTAAAGTCTCGAACTAAAACAAACAATCGAATCAAACGAACGAACGAAATACGTCAAAAACTATTTATTGGGCCCAATATTCACATTTCTTGGCCATTGGGCGGCCCAATTGAGTGTGAAATGAGCCCAATGTTTTCCATGACATGTTTAATGGGTCTTGTGGCCCACTTACATGTTAATCTGGGCCTAAGTTATGGATTACATGTTTATTGGGATTTTGTGGCCCATTTACATGCCTATTGGGCCTAAATTACCCTTTTACATGTGATTGGGCCTTTGTGGCCAAATTTCATACTAATAGGGCTTGGAATGGAAATTTCATGTGTTAGTAAGCCGTAACGATACCCTTATGTAATCATAAAACTCCGTAAATTTATTCAAGTACCTTTCGAATACAAAAACATCCCACAAATACGTAAACATTAAACATAATACAAAAAGGGGTTAAGAATCTAGTGAGACTTGTCGGTTGACACCACTGAGTGTACAATCGTAGCCTGTAGTTATAATCAGAGTTTCCTGGTAGGAAAGCGGGGGTTTGTGTATAGATCTATACGGGGTGACTCCCCACGCCTTTAGCTGCTCGCTACAGCTAGACTAGGCCAGTCTAGGGCGACAACATCCTTAGCAAGACCGACATTTGGAAAAAATACCAAGACGGGCGACCTAATCATTATCATGCATGGTTATAACGGCTCATATAGGGATTCAATACCAAAAGATAACCTTTTGAAGATAAACTCTTTAATTGCGTTAATGCAAAACGACTTATTTAACGATACAAGAATTTAAACATTGTTATAAAACAGAAAACATCGGATTTTCTGGGGGAAATTATTCATATACATTTATCATTTATTCACAATACAATGAAACTAAACTACTCTTTTATAAACTATAACTATGTAATTCACACATGCATTTATACTTGATTTTCACAATATTTTCAGACATTTTACAGAAAATATCGGATTTTCTGGGTTTTTATGAAAGATACAAAGACTTTTATTCAAACATACTTATGAAATCACCAACATTATATATGTTGACCGTTTTCAAAATAACTTGTATTCTCAGGTAATCGTTAAGCTGGAAGATATGCAAGTGTATGGTTTTGTTTATGTAACATCACTTATCGTACTTGAACAATTTGAACTTATGTATTTTAACAATGTACTTGATGAGAACAATGTTGTTTGTAAATATGTAATGTTGGTGATGAATGTGTTATGCTTCATGTATATTCATTGTGATGATTATTCAATTGTTAGTCACACGAGCCTCCAGACGTTTCCGCCGTCTGGTTCGGGGGTGTGACAACATTCACCCAAACCTAGTGGCGAGCATCATGCCACACCGTGGTTCCTGGCTGAAGACAACTTAATTGATTAAGCTCTAAATTCGTTAAGTCCTTTGCCAAAACTTTCCAAAAGGCTTCTTAGTACCTTAAATGTTCATAAAATCCAAACTTTATGGACATGCATGACACATGCATGTCCTTCACTCAAAATAGATCAAAAGGTACGAAAATGACATAAATCTCATGCATGGCTTTCAAAACACTGTTAACTTCTAGATCCAGAAGATAAATGCTCTAAGAGCCTTGATGAGTGATAAAATTGCTAACTTTATCACTCCCAGTCATTCAAACTTCCACAATGGACCTTAATATGCTAACTTTCCAAGATCTATTAGAAGTGAACCATAAAGATTAACTCTTGAAAACTTACAAAGGTGGGGATGAGTTGCTTGATAGATCATTGCACTAGAAATCTTCTTCTTCTTCGTTCAAAGGTCACAAAATCACCAAAATGAGCTCAAAAGCTTGAAAGGTGGCTAGTGTTTGATCTTATGCACGTAGAGGAGTGATGAAGACTGAGGGTGGACAAACCCTAGCCATCACATCATTTAAATAGGGATCAAGTCTTGAAATTTAGGGTTTTGAACCCTGTTGTCACCACGTCATGGTGGCTTAATGAAATCTGCAATTCATGCTGCTTTGCCACGTCGTGGATCCTTCATCACCACATCGTGGCTACCAAAAAATTCACCATATTAAAATATAAAATTCATACCTGAAACCGGGTGTTATAGTTGAAGACGATAATAGAGAGAGAGGGGGAGGGAGAGAGAGAGAGAAAGATATATATATATATATATATATATATATATATATATATATATATATATATATATAGAAAGAGAGAGAGAGAGAGCCGTTCTTAATGATGAGGTGGCAGAAGGAGGCGTATGGTTAGGGGTTACTTTATTTAATATTAATTAACACAATAAATAAAACAAAAAATGAAGATCTTTTGAAATAAGGGTAAAAATGTAATTTTATATGGGGGCTTAAAAACAAATTTTAACAAAGTTAGTCGACAGTTAGTTATAAGGGTCATATGTATGGGAAATTTTCATCAAAAATGACCATTTGCTGAGTTTTGTCAAAAAAAGACCATTAATGCAAAAAAAAAAAAGTTTTATAAAGTCCGTTTTAAAAACAATTTTAAAACTATAAGGACTATTTGTGAAATTTTATAAAAAAAAGGTAAGCATTGTAAACGAGGGATGTGAAGGATGAAGTGTGCACCAATAACAATAAATGTGTAACGATATTTTTCTGATTGCCCAAAGAAACACCTCACCAGTCACCTCTATATTGAATAGCCGACCGACCTCTGCTCTGAGTAAGATTGAGTGAATCAACGGGGTTATCGATCTGCCGCGAACAATTTTCTTGAAGATCTACAATTACAAACAACAACAACACTATAGCAAAATCATCCCTTTCCAAGGTAAACCCTAGATCTCTACTTGATCAATAAATGGTGGTAAACTTTCTTTCCCTTATTTTCTAAATGGGGAAACCATTGTTCTACGAGATCCTTGAAAAACCCGCCACTAGTTGTATTATAGGATTATGCACTTTAATTTGGTTCTACATACACAAGAAGAACATCGGGTATTCTCATGTGGGTTTGAGTTATGAAACGGCTGTCGAAGGTCACCATTGGAGGATCATAACCTCTGCATTTTCGCATATAAGTGTTCTTCATCTTGTTTTCAATATGAGTGCACTTTGGAGCCTTGGAGTTGTTGAGCAATTAGGGCATATGGGTTTTGGAGTGGGTTATTATCTTCATTACTCGATTGTTTTGGTAGTGTTATCAGGTTTGCTAGTTTTGGGAAGCTACCATGTTCTTATCAATCGATTCAAATTTGAGTATTTCAGAAGAGTTACTGCTGTTGGGTATTCTTGTGTTGTTTTTGGATGGATGACGATTCTTTCAGTGAGGCAACCTTCATCAAAATTGAATCTTTTTGGGTTTCTTTCACTCCCCATTAGTTTTGCCCCTTTTGAATCGCTTATATTTACTTCAATCATTGTTCCACAAGCAAGCTTTTTAGGGCATTTATCTGGGATTATTATCGGGTATTCGATTGCTTGGGGTTTGATCCATGGAATGAATAATTATTGGGCTGTTTCTATGTTGGGATGGATTTTGATTGTTTTTGGTATCAGTTTGAAGCAATCGGGTGCTTATGATTTTCAGTTTCTTGAAATTGAATCTGTTACAGATCCTTGTTTACCTGGTAATGGCAGGATGTTGCAAATGAGCTCTCTTTTGGATGCTCGTGATGAACTTGTATAGTGATTGTGAAAGAGGCATGTAATGATTTCTTGACAATTTTCTGATTTTATTATAATCTTTTATGTTAGTTTCGTATATGTGGTTAAAGATGTAGTCTTTGTTGGCTTTTGATATTGTGGAACTTTGGTTAATGACAAGTTTTAGGTGAAAATGTTTGGTTTAAATTGTGTTATTGTAACTATCTACATGCATTAGTATCTTTGTTGTGGGTACTTTATGATTTACGAGTATTATCCTTTTCTGTTATCAGAATTGCTTGTTGATAGTGATACCCGATGAAATTTTGTGTTTGTTTCTCTTCAATATATTTTTAGTTCATGTGTGTTGACCTCATGTTGATTAAGACAATGTAATGGGTGACTTAGGCACCTTTTTTCTTCTTCTTTTTCTTTTTCTTATTAAATAGCTTATTATGATTTAGTAATGCTAATAAGCACTTCTGAGTGTGTGGATAGAATAAAATGAAAAATGTTTATTACACATGGAAAACAATTTACTCTTTTATAACCTTAAACTTCATGTGGAACTTAGCCTTGTTTTTCCCTTTTCATTACCGCGACTAAATACCAATTTACCATTTTGTCCATGTTCTTGGTATTTTTTTTTGTATATACTCAGAATTTGCGAAACATGAAAAACCAACTTATAAGATTATTATGTTTTGGTACTATATGTTAAATCCCAATATATATTTTTTTCTTTCTAAACACTTTTTTGGTTAAAGTTAATAAACATTTTGACATAATTCTGTAATAAATAAGCAATCACAAATACCCCCTCTAAGTGTGGTTTAGAGAATATTGTTTGGATAAATTATGTTTAAAAAGTATTTGAGGAAATTACGGTGAATCCGGGAACCAAAAGAACAAAATAATCTGGGACAACCTTGTAAATAGTTAGAACTTAATGTGGAAAACCCCATTTTCCATGTCTTGCTCTATTAAGTCGGTCTTTATGTATTAAGTCAAAAAGAACATACAGATTGCCAAATTAGGATTTGGCTCCATTAAGTTCATTCGTTAAAAAAAAAATAACATCTTAGTGTGTTACCTTATCTAATTCCACAATGTCAGGGATAATGACATTGTTCATTTAGGTCAGTTTGTAACAAATGATGACTATTTTCATATATAAAAAATAGACATCCATTTCATGAATTCCAATTCCTAATATAGTTTATTAGGTTCTAAACTTTTAACATTCATTACACAACAAAAAGCATATTCTAAATAAATTATTTTTTTAGAAAATATATTCTTTTATTAACAAAGCAATATATATATATATATATATATATATATATATATATATATATATATATATATATATATACATTTTCAGTTTATGGACCAAATCTTTTTCATCATTTACACAATAATGGTGTTTTAAATGATTATGCATAATGTAATTGAGAAGTTGGTACCTCATTATGTGATGTTAGTTGAATACTTATTCAATAATAATTCATTTTTAATCAATTTTAGAATATTTTATATTTTAGCAATTTATATAATTCTCTGTATTATAACATGTTCTTGGTAGGTAGTTACAGAAATATTGTACATGAAAAACACCAAAACCACAATCAAGTTCTTTGTCTAATCCTCCTCCCATTTGCATCTCCGCCATCAGAAAGTTGACCACAAACACTCCGTGACTTTGCACCACCACCACTGCTACACTCATCTTCACACCCCGCCACCATTTTCAAAATCTCAGACTGCAACTTTGGATACTTTTCTTTCAAATACTCAAATCCATCTGATCGCATCACAGCTGCATTTCAAACATAAAAAATAAGTGTCAATGGTTGTTTGATACGCCTCTTACCAAGAGACTGAGTCTGACTCGGTCAAATTCAGACCGTTTGATACCACAAGTAGAAGCCTCTGATTCTGAGTCTGACTTAATCAGATCTGACTCAGTCAGCAATTATCAAACAGTTGACAGTTGACAGATGATAGAATACCTACAAGGTTTTGAGAAGCAAATCTAAGGCAAACAGCTTTGAGTTGAATGGCATGATATTTGTGTGCAAGTGCAAGAGCTCTTCCAAGAGAGTTTACAGAGATATGTTTGCAGAGATGAGGTTCGCAGATGCTTCTAAGTCTACTCAAATCATACGTATCAGCAGCACTTAATAACTTTGCTGTTAATGTATCAGATATACATGTGAAGGTGGAGGATTCACATGGAGAATCATCTTCCATAACTGCATCTCTGTAAATGAAATGAAGCAAAGACTGTTTCTTGCATGTCAAAATCGTTTCAGGTTTGACTTTTCAACCATATGTTATATACTCGTATGTATCTTATGTTTGATGAAATGGTACCAAAGGTGAAATTACCTTAAAGACCTTGGGTTCAGTATCAGCAACAACAATCTCATGGTCATGGTTAAGGTCAACTCCCTCTGGTCCAAAGAATTGAGAGTGAAAAACAGGGGATCGAGCAGCCAATACCAATTTATGAGCATGAAACTTTTCTCCAGCAACATTAAAGATAATATCTGCAGCTTCTGTGTTATCCAGTAGCATACTAAAATGTGATCCAATATCCGATTCTGGGACCTGAATTGAATGCAACCTAGAACAGTCTACAGCAGAAACAACCACTCCTACAGTACAATTGATTTTCAAGCAGTCGTCTTTCAGATAATCTGAAGTTTCTAGCATTTGTCGCCTGTAAAAACGCTTGTATCCCCTGTCACCCAAAATGGTAATGTGGATTTTAGTTAAAAGTTAAAACAAATAGATTACAGTAAGAAAATAGTAAGCTTGATTTCAAAACCTACCACATACTGCCTCGGTATTTCAATGTATATGGACCACTCTCGAGAGACCGATCAAAATGGCTATGAACTTTGTGCTTCCCTTTCCCACTTTGATCCACCAGAGTCAACTCAAACAACGCCCTTACATCGGTGCCCTCACTCGCAAGAGCAATGAAAACCGAAATATAAGTCGAATTGTCTTCCTGGTTCTTCCCATCAGGGTAGAAGTATATAGACCACTGGAACCCTCCCACCGTGAAATCATCACTGGCGATGTACTTACCGATTCCTATGCCCTTAGATAACGAATAACCTTGGATTACGAACCGGTGAGAGCCGTTAACCGTCTCCGTCACCGACCGGGAGCTAGTTGGTTGCATAGGGTTAAGGGAAATCGAAAGTCATGGAAGATTAGGTAAACTGGACACCTTGCAAGAAATTCAATTGAACTCCGACTCAATTTATTGCAAGTTCTCTAATGATGATTTTGGAATTACCAATCTAATGATGATCGAGAATTTGTGTGATTTTCTTGGAGATCTCTTTCGCCGGCAACCGTTGTTGTATTGCCGCAATGTCACCCTGACTATAAATTGGCTTACCGAGAGAGCCGTGTATGAAACCATTAACTTGGCTTAAGGAGGGAGCCAAGTATGAAACTACGTCGTTCTGTTAGGTTAATTTTAACTTATATTATTTAGGAAGTTTTTCCGGTTGATCTTAAAAAAAAAGTTACCAACAATTTTGGCCATAATTAACAAGGTGACCTTTCCAATTAAGGCCAATCACCCGGTTTTAATCAAATATCCCATAATTAGGATTGACGTGGTTTTGTTTGTTAACCAAGATCGTGAAAACTATTTGCAGAATAGTATGTTAAAGAAATTAAATCATCAACCTATCAGATAAACAAAGAAATTGAATCAATCTATAGATAAACGATAAATGGACAACATGTTTCCTAGCAATTCATGGTTACATTGTTGGTGCAATTCCAATGTTCATGCTACATAAGGGCATAACACTCATTTTAAGCCAAACAAGGTTCAAACACGCAATAAAAACAAAAAATAAATACCTTCTGGGTTAAAAAAATAAGTTAGGAACCAAACATGTAAATTACCTCAAACCATAGGGACCATTCATGTAATTTACTCAACTATAAATATGTTTTGTATATGAATGCAGAAAAAAAAAATACATAAATTGTTTCATCAAATATATAACAAAGAAATTCCATTGTGTAAGATAAACCGATCCTATGCTATACATCATACATATCCTAGATTCTACTAGGAATTCCCAACCCTCGCCACTCGCAATATCAAGAACCTCAATCAACACCGTTGGTTGCCTTATGCATTCAAGTTATATACAAAATAGGATTACATAGACTGTCAAATGATGATTCTACCCTAAGTCCACAACCAAACAAGGAACATGAAATGAGACCAAATTGATCATTCTAGGGTTATATAATTCTAATCGTATACAACTTTGAAAGCATACACTTAGAAAATAACTGAGCCGATATCAATTCCAAGTAATACATAACATCAAGTTCTACTAGGCTATAAGGCATCACACAAATCAGAGAATTCTATCATATATGTTAGGATTAAAACCTTAATTGGGAAATCCGAGATGACGAATGCGGAATATCAAGAACAATCAAGAATCAATCACCATCATATGTGTAACGTCCGTGTTTCGGGGCTAAGCATTAGTAGATGATGTAATAGTCTAGGTCAACTATTGTAACTCTTTTTGAAATAATAAAGAGGAATTATTTGAGTATTATGTGAATTATGTGAATTTATATGCTTTACACCTAATTATAAAGATATAATTAATAAAGAATAAAAATAAGCGTAAAAATTAAAGTATGAGATAAACCCGATATCATTACATAAAGTTGTAGTGGTCGAAACAAGGATTTCAGATATATAAAGAACGCCTAAATCCGAGTTATAACGAAGAAGTTATGACCCGTCGAAGTTTCGCGGCAAAACCGACACGGCACCGGAAACGTAAACAGTGAATTTATGATAGAGGGCTATCTGGCCTTAGTAATCTAAACAAAAGTCGTAGAATATGTTAAACCGAGAGCGTCCATAAAAAGAACGCCCAAATCTGACTTCGTATGAGGAAGTTATGAGTTTTCTAAGATTTGGCTTAGCAGTGCATAACCCGAAACTCGAATTTTAGATCGAGCGGTTTTTGGCCAACGTGACCTAAATGAGAATTGAAAATCTCATTAATAGGAACTCAACGACAAAAAGACAGACGAAAACGGAGTCCGTATGTAGAAATTATGAATTTTACGCTGACATTTAACAGTGTAATCACCTCCTACTGTTAAATTTAAAGATCGGTCAAGAATTAGCCGACAAAGTCAAAAGGAAAGTTGTAGATCTTATTTTTACCTACGCATGGATATAAAGAACATAAAAAAAGGAGCTCGTATGTGAAAGTTACGGATTTTAGAAGTCGGAAGTGTGTTGTGCGAAAATGGGTGACGTGACACAATCTTGGCAATTGCTTTCTCCCTAAGTCTTGCCACCAGATGGTGACATGTGGCACCAAGTTCAGCCATATTTCACAAGGTTTTGAAAACCGGACCGGAGACCGAACCGGTCGTCTTACTGGTTCGATGGTTCAAGTGGTCCAACCGGTCGGACCGGTCTAAAAAACCGGAAAAACCGGATGATGTCATAATTATATTTAATTATATAAAAAATACAAAAAATGAAAAAAATAAATATTTTTTAAAAATAAATATCTTTTTAACTACTCGCGGTACGAGGAATCTGGTTTAAAGGGCCGCATAGGGTTGTTGGATTTCAGAAGTGTTATATGCCAAAATGGTCATGCCCTCCGATGTTTTATGTCTGGCCCCTGTCTGTACATAGTGGTTGGAAAATATTGTTTAAACGCTTATATAATAATAATAATGCTAAGACTAATAATTAGTCACGGTAAATATTATACTAAAATTTAGCGATAATAATGCTAGGTTTCATCAAAGGAAAATAGAATCGTTAAAAGTGAAGCGCTGTCCGAGTATGGAATCATCACTTTAACAAGTGAGTGCATAGTCACTTTCATCTTACACATAGATATGAAGTATTTAATATAAACTACGTGCTATGTGTGCATATTGTCTGAATACTTGCTGTCTATGCTGATGAAAGATTTTTATATATGTTTTAAATGATTTAAACTGTATATGTATTTTATATCTACAAAATGTTGGGGTAAAACATGGGTAGATGTAATAGACGATGTGTGATAAAATGATGAGAGGCCTCGATGTTGTTGTTGTTGATTCTGTCATCTAGCGGAGTATAGATGACGACCACTAACTCTTATAGACAGTCCAGTGGAACGCTAGTAGGCTCGCAACCTGTAGGTGTTTGTGAACGATGTGTTCACCGGTGTACTCCATCCCCTCATGGTTGCCTTAAGGACATCTATTGCTGAGGAATCCCCTTAGCAGTAGTGTCCATCACGATGATGATCCTTAGGCTAGGTCCCTTATGATAGGTGTTTAGGGACGTAAAGTGAGGATAACGGGAACGGGTAATCGGGTTGTTGTTGGTTGATGAAATTAAATAACTTATTTATTGTGGGTTGAAAACCCTATGTGCTCACCAGGCTCCAAACCCTGACCCACTCAGTTTCATGTATTACAGGTAGTGGCGCTCGAGCATAGATGTGATGTTTTGGATGAGGGATTACGTATATAGGCATGTAGATATGAATAAATGTAGTAAGGCTTATATTGTACTATTTATGCTTTTGATCTGTATCGAACATGACATCTTGAGGTTTTTAATGAAATACATTTCTACGGAAATGCTTTGATAAATCTTTATCATATTATATTTTGGGAACAAATTCCGCAACACTTTTATTTAAAATGTTACTATGATTTTCAAACAAAGCATAAACAAATCAGTCTTTTCTGGCCGTGAAAATGGGGATGTCACAATATGCAAGTAATCTGATAAAGGTTTTTCGTATATTGATTATCACATGAACGTACAGAGAAAAACCCTAATCTGGTAAAAAGCTTACCTTAAAATCTAACCTAATGATTATTTATAGGGAACAATAAATATATACCATAAGTATAAAATCTATGCCTTAATATAAAACCAATGCCTTAGAAGAGCTCGATTAAGAACTTCTACTGAAAAGGCACCGTAGGGAATCATAAAATGATTAACCCTAAAAAGGCTTCCCTAAATAACCAAATATGCCAAATCAGTTTCAATATCTCAAATACTCAACAATCTCCCCCTAGATGTTGAAACTGATGAAGATCACGATTTCCGATCTTCTTGGCATTTCTCCCCCTAAATTGTGAGACTCATCAGCACATGGGGTCTTCAAAGCGAGAGAAATAAGAATAATCTTCCAAATACGAACTCCCCCTTGAATAATCATTACTCCCCCTTGAATCTTCAACAAATACCATGGAGAGAATCCAGAAAGTTAAGAAGAATCACTAACAATCTTCAAAACCCGTCAGATTTGATGAAATAAATCCCTTTAGAAAACACCAAATTCTCAAAAAATAAAACCGAAAAAATAACAAAAAATAAATTTGTATTTTTCGATTTTAAATATAGACAAAAGAATAGAATACGAAAAAATTTATTTAGAAGGGTTTGAAAGGAATAAGACCAAAGAAAAAGATTAGAAATGAAAATATTTTGGTAAGAAGGGGATAAAATGGTAAAAATCCGAAAATTTTGAAAAGAATTTCGGATATGGGGGTGAACTGTGAAGGTCTGAAAGTTAGGGGGCTGAAGATGAAAATATATCCAATTTGCTTCGTTTTAACGCTGAAAGAAATAACAGCGTTGAAAAAATTGAAACTGTAAAGCTTGATAACTTTCGGGGACTGAAGTTGTAACAGTGAGTCATCTTCTTCGTTCATTCAGAAAACGACGTTTCTTTGACTTCTAAAAGTCAAACTTGATTACGCATCCAAAATTTCGATTCCAATAGAGCCACTGAGTTCCGATTGTAACTCCTAAGTACTAATTATCATTTCGATTCACTTGCTGAACCCCGAACTCGATTTCAATTTGGAGAATGACTGGGAATCAATTTCATCATCCGAATGATTTTGATTTCAATTCGAAGCTGTTGGACGACGACGAATGTTTTGATTTCAACTGATAAATGCGAAAACCAGAATATGATATCCTCCAATGATAAAATCGATTTCTGAAACAACATCAATAGATCCGATTCCGTTTGTAAATTCCGATTCCAGAACTACCAAATCTATTTCAACATACAGACGGAAACATTTAACGATTTGATTAACCTGTGAATACTGATTCTGAAACCATCAATGTCGACTGTGACTCTCGCTCCGATTTCAAATGGTCATGGACCTAAAGCGAATCTCAGGTTCGCTTCAAATCTAATTACATGTTCGTTCCGTCGATTACACACCCAAAGCGATCGTTCGCTTATTGACTTTCGCTTCTTGACTTTCGTTTTTGGTTGCAAGGTTCGTTTCTTGATCTTGAGTTTCGCTTTTGGTTGTAAGGTTCGTTTCTCGATCTTGAGTTTTGCTTCATTGCTTTAACCATAAAAGCGAATCTGACTTTGGTTCGT